TAAAGGGATGGTGTCCGTTCAGGTGCTCTTGGGGTGCACTCTTTTTAGCCTCTTAGGGTGTGTTTGAATGGATGGTGGCTGATACATTATTCAAACTTTTTAAAAAGCATTTGTTTATTGTCTTTCATTAAGGACCTTTTCACTGACTGCAGAATTGTAATTCTCAGTCATATCTTTGTTTTTTTCATATAAATATTGTCACTATGAGGTTGCCAAGCAACTGTCCTCCAAGAAACTGTTATACCACAACTCCCTAAATCACAACTTGTAGTTTGTACATTTCTGTTTATGTACAGACTTAACAGATAGTATAAGAGGGCTTTAGAGGTGTTAGTAGGGGGATTTTTTTTTTTTTTTAACTTTGAACAGAACCTGGAGAGCTGTTTCCTCCTGCTTTTAGTCTTTAAGCTAAGCTAGGCTAATCTCCTCTTGGTTCCTGCTCCATGCTTGAGGGGAAACTTAGGTGTTTTTCAACCTCGACCCTTCCCCCCCATATTTTTATATCTAAGTGACTAATGGGAACAACATTTTTTTAAACTGGTCCGGCACTGAGTGAGTGTTCTGCAGCTGGAAGCCATGAAACTCGCTGCAACATAATCCTTCAAGATCAATGTACATCCACTAAACGTGTGTGTTTTTGCCACTGACAGGCTCAGATTGTTGTAAGTATTTGACAAAGAAACAAAACGTTTTTCTTTACCTTTTGCCTTATCTGGTCAGTTTGTTATCATGTCTAACCAAGTTTCACTCAAGGAGAGGTCTCAGTCTGAAGTCTCATGAGATGAGTTGTTGCAGGAAGACAATAGTAAATGGACTGGATCAAACATAAGGCAAACTGTGTACAAAAATCCTGCGACAATGCTTTGAAACGGCTGAAAGGCACCAATGAGTGCAACTTTAAGTCCTTCTGCAGAAGATTCCACATATAAGGAGCTGCATAAATAAATGCACACTTGCTAAACTCTGTGTGTTTCCTGGGTACAGACAATAAAAACGGTCTGAGAACGGACTTATGTCACAGGAAACACAATGCTGAGCACTTGATTCTATTACTTCGGGATAAAACTTGTTAGGGCTTTCAGGGCTTGGCTGCTCATACATATATTTCCGGAGAGTGAGCGTCTGGCTGCCAAGCAAAAGGTAAGGGATGTGGGCCTACTCTGAGTGACAGCCGTCAGATCAGGAAGGCAACAGTCAGCTCGTTCTTCCCGGTTCGACTCTGCATAGTGTCAGCACTACATTGACAGTTGACAGTCCATGTGTAAACATTGAACACACAGACAAAACATGCACTTTCAGTGGATGTACACTGACGGTGAGCTAATACTTGTAAGGATTACATTGCAGCTCATCTTCCTCTTTAGTGGACCAGTTTCAAAACTTGTTGTCTCCACTGGGCACATAGACACAAAAACATGAGAAAAGAGGGACAAGGATGAAAACTACAGAAGTTTCCCTTTAATCACATTATGGGGGTATAACTCATAATGTGATTAAAGGATTAAACTCATAAGTGTATTTGGAAATTAGTGTATTTCCAAAAATGTCATAGTTTCTTTATGATATTAAATCAAGTTTAAGGTGATTAAAAGTGCATTGATCTGATGGATGCACAGTCTAAAATGTGTTTCTGGAATTACAAGTCTTACTTTGTGTTTGTCATTACCTTTTATTTAAAAAAAAATCTTCATTATCCCAATCTCTGCACCTGGTTCATAATATCAAACATCCAGCTGAATATGTAATACCACAGTGTAAACACACAGTTGTATGTTCAAGATGGACTCCCCTCAGAGTTTGCATTCCTGCCGTCAGTATCAGGCAGGGGTGTGTTGGTTCAGGGAACAGAGAGGGGAAGAGTGGTGGGGAGGGGAAGGGGAGACGAGAGGAGCTTGATGGTGCACGCTTATTAGCCTGAAATATCCATGCAGCAGCTGCACCATTTCCGCGGCAACACCTGTCGCCATGGCGCTGAGTTGTCGACATGCCTCTGTGTCAGAGTCTGCATGTCTGAGGCGCTGCACATTCACAGCGTGTCCGACCTCTGAGAGCGCACACACACACACACACACACAAATAGAGCACACACTTACTTCCCCAACTAATGTCTTGGCATGTGCAAAATCTCATACATGCAGGAAAGCACCCCCATATACAGTGGTGCCAACATGTAGACACACACACACCTTTGTAATGGCAGCGCTGGAGGAACAGTTGTAAAGTAAGAAATCAGAAAAGGAATTTTTAGCTTAGTGGCTTCTTTGTTGCATCCTTAGATATCCAATTCTCTGCTTCCCACCACGCTCCCTCCTCGCTCCATTCCCTCTCTCGTCACTCAGATGGGGAATTTTGCGTTTCCATGACAACTACAGCGGTGGAGGAAACGGATTAGATACTCTGCACTGTCTATGCTGGGGGTGTGGTAGCTGCATGTGTGAGTGCTGGATTGGGGGGAGGGGGGTGCTTATGGGGTGTATGGCTTGTAAAGAGGGATTGGGTTATGGTTGAGTGTAGTTTGTGTATATGTGTACACACACATATACACAGTGTGTGTGTGTGTGTTACAGACAGTGTAGAGGCGATCGGGGTGGGGGCAGGAGATGCCCTCAAACCACATTGCACCAGATGGAAGCTTTTGATCTCCTCAAAACACACACATTGTTCTATCTTGGCAAGCGAATGGAAACCAAATCAAAGTCCATTAGATTTGCTCTTCATTTCGTGTTTTCTGCCCATCACCTGTGAGCACATCACATGCTCTGTTTTGCACACTTGACCCTTGACTTGTAACCTAGTGAAGTGACACCTGACGCAAGCATGAGGACACTTCTCCCTCTCATCTTTTCTCCCCCCAACCTTGCTGCAGCAAGATTATAAAGAGCCAATTAACCCTGCTTGTGTCACCCTAAATTCAGCTCTCACTATCCCTCAGTCTGTCTCTCCTCCCTTCATTCCTGTCTCCCAGTCTCCCCCCCTGTCTGATTTCCATCCTCCCAGCTGAGAAAACAGGCGCGAGAGCTCTTGGCAGAGACGAGGGGAGAGACGGAGAGAGAAAGAGGGGGCTTTTCAGATGAAGAGAAAAAGGGTTTGCTGCTTTGAAAGGGAGCATTGTGTTTTTCTTCCACATTGCTACAGCTCCATCTCTGTGATTCAGTCGAGCCAGCAGCCAGCACATTACTGTGTCTCTTTAAATCAGGGTACTGTTAGCCTTAGCAACGTTCAGGCTCCAGTGCTCCAATGCTCCTGCTCAATGGCCTCCCCCTCTTCTTTCAGCCAAAGACCACTGAACTCCCTGTTAAGTCTGCCTGATGGGCACATTCCTCTCAGCTGAAATAATAAATTAGGCTTTTTGGAAATCGTCTAAGAAATGTGTTAAATATAGTGTGTTTGGCAGAGCGTGGAGTAGATAATTAAAAGTGTAAGACAGTGCATTTTATACTCCACCAATCAGTGGATATTACTCGATAGTTGTTGTCGTGCAGGACAGTCGGGGTGTATTTTTGGAGCTGGCAAAGTGTGCCGACAGAAAAAAAAGATCCCATTCCTTTCTCTCCCTGTTAATTTTTTATAAGGAACATCAATCCAGTCTCTCTGCCTCTGCCTCTGCACTGCATGAAAAGAAATCACATTAACCCACTGCTGCCTTTTTCTAGGTCTATGAAACTTTCAGATGTAATATCCACTAAGTGTGTCATTGGGATTTAGACCGTACTTGACTGTGGCACTGTGAATAATATTCCGAGTTATTCCGCGGCAAAGTCCAGATTAATCTGGTCTTTATCCCTGCTGTGCTTCCAGTGTGCGTATCCACAGAGCAGCGCTCTGTCCTCCAACATGTGGTGACCCAACACGCTGCAGAGACAGCTGCAGGAAGGGAGGAAGGAGGGGGGCAGGGGAGGAAGAAGAGAGGAAGTCAGAAGCGGGAGGATGAGGGGGAGGGTTCTTTCCTTTAGCTGGACTACTCAGAGAGGGAAAAATTAATAAAAGAGGCGCGGAAACTCACGTCCTGCCCCGCCACAAGCAGCCGCCACGTCACATCCTGGTCTGGCCTTACATGGATCAGATGTGATCCTCCACAGCCTGAAATGAGATCCTTGCTTCCTCTTGCTGGTCCTGCCTGGCAGCGAACACACTGTGGGAGAGGAAATGCTCTACTTTCTGCTCCAATATTAGAATTAGAAACAAGACTAAATAGAATAAATTCAATTACGAGACGATTCAAGAAATTTGCTTTACAAGAACTTTTGTTTGTGTGTTTGAAAGTCTGTCTTTTTCATCGACTCACTGACTGACCACAGTGTATAAGTGTGCCTGATCGCATGTACATGTGTCACATTCAGGATGTGACGATGCCTGTTATTCTCTCTAATACCCAGGCCGTCTGACTAATGTTATTATCGCTCACAGGCAGTCCATTGTCAAGTTCCAGTCTGCTACTGCTTCCCCTCTTTTGACAACTCTGCTATACATCACTGGTTTGAAGTTTTTTGCCTGTGTGTCTGTGTGTGTGTCACTCTATTGTGTATATCTCTGTGTGTGTATAATCAGCAGGAATGTGCTTAATTAAGCGAGATAGGGTGGGGGGCATAAAGGGGGCAGTAAAAGAACAATCTCGCCATTCTGCTGGGTCTCCCCTCCAGGAAATGGATGACACATGGGGACAGTGAGGACAGCAGGAGTCTCTGTGAGTCACAGGATCACAAACATCAGCTGACAAAGTAACTCTAAAGCTATTGTAAAGCCTAATAATATATGCATATTGTCCTCGTGTGTACAATTTCCTTTGATTGTTGCCCTGTCAAATGGAGGCTCATACTGTGCAGATCTCCAGTGATTCAAACCGGCACCAACCCACAGTACCTTATTACCTCTGACTCATCCGCTTGTGTCTGTGTGTGGGATATTCTCCGCCCGGCTCTGCCATGTATCCCGCATATGTCTGTCTTGGAGTTGCCAGGTTTGACTAATGGCTGCATATGTTTGTCTTCCTGCAGGTCATTCAGCTCAGCCAGGCCCCGAGCGGAGCCAATAATGGTCACTACATAGATCTGTAATGAAGATGTGGGGAACAGAGAAAAGCATCCAGCGGCTGGGGTTGACAGTTGCCGTGGCAACCAAATAACACAATGAGAGAAGGGTGAGAGGAGTCGGCCATTTTGGGGATGTGAGTTTGCAAGGTTTGATGGTGGAATGCTGCTGTGTGAATGAAATGGATTGTTGAGTTAAAATGATTTTATGTAATGTAAAAGAAAGAATGTTTATTCAGAAAAAATTATTTGTATTTGAAAACTATCAGATGTGGAACCTTTAATGAATGAAAATAATTTTTTTTCATAGCTATTGGTCTTGGTGTAATCTTCAGGCAGTGACCATAACTCAGACAATTGGCATTAGCTGCAGTAGAATAGATGTCACTGCTGATTCATGAACAACAGTCACATCATCTGCATCCCTCCAGCTCCTCAGTCCCTCCTTCCAACCCCCAACATCTGCAGCAGTGAGTTAAGCCTGCTCCTTTTGTTTTGCTTAGTGACGTCCCATGGGCTATTTATAGGGACTATGTTATTGTGTAAGACCTTGTGAAAGGCGCAAAGAGCTGGAGCAGGCTGCCATGTTCCCTGAAGTGGCCCCAGGAACTGTGAGAGGAAAGCTAAAGAACATGTGGCTATTATATTATCAGCTAAGTGCTGTGAGCTGTATGGGTATAGACATACATGTACTCTTACAGTCTTGTCACCATTCATTTATTTTCTGCATTTGTCCAATCTCTAAACTGCCTTTCATCTCTAAGATTCTAGAAAAAATTGTAACAACAGCATATTTGAAAAGTTTCAATCTGGTTTCTGTCAGTATCACAGCACTGAGACAGCACTCACAAAAGTCACTAATGACCTCTTATTGAATGCTGATGCTGACATGTGCTAAATCCTTGTGCTGTTGGACGTAGTGCGGCCGTTGACACAATTGATCATGTTGTTCTTTTAGAAAGACTGAGGCACTGGATGGGGGTATTTATGGGGGTATTTATGGGGGTATTTATAAAATATCATAAAGATGTCATAGTATAGTATGACGTCCAAAATGTCATAAAAAAGTCATGGTATAGTATGACGTCCAGAATATCATAAAATAGTCATATTATAGTATAATGTCCAAAATATCATAAAAATGTCATAGTACAGGATGACGTCCAAAATATCATAAAAACGTCATAGTATAGTATGCCGTCAAAAATATTGAAAAAATTCATAGTATAGTATGACGTCCAAAATATTAAACAAAAGTCATAGTATAGTATGTTGTCCAAAATATCATGAAAAGTCATAGTATAGTATGACGTCCAAAATATTAAACAAAAGTCATAGTATAGTATGTCGTCCAAAATATCATGAAAAGTCATAGTATAGTATGACGTCCAAAATATTAAACAAAAGTCATAGTATAGTATGACGTCCAAAATATCATAAAAATGTCATAGTATAGTATGTCGCCCAAAATATTAAAAAAAGTCATGGTATTGTATGACGTCCAAAATATCATAAAAAGTCATAGTATAGTAAGACGTCCCAAATATCATAAAAAAGTCAGAATATAGTATGTCGTCGAAAATATCATGAAAACGTCATAGTATAGTATGACGTCCAAAATATCATAAAAACGTCATAGTATAGTATGGCGTCTAAAACATTAAAAAAAAAGTCATAGTATAGTATGTTGTCCGAAATATCATAAAAAAGTCATAGTATAGTATGTTGTGCAAAATATCATAAAAAAGTCATTGAATAGTATGTCGTCCGAAATATCACAAAAAAGTCATAGTATAGTATAACATCCAAAATATCATAAAAAAGTCATAGTATAGTATGACGTCCAAAGTATTTTATGTCATCAAAATGTGATTCGAAAATGTCATGGTGTAGGATGTCATAAAGATGTGATAAAACAAAGTCACAGTGTAGTATGGCGTCCAAAATATCATAAAATAGTCATAGTACAGTATGACGTCCAAAATATCATCAAAACGTCATAGTACAGTATGGCATCCAAAATATTAAAAAAAAGTCATAGTATAGTATGTCGTCCAAAATATCATAAAAAAGTCATAGTATAGTATGACGTCCGAAATATNAGTATGTCGCCCAAAATATCATAAAAACGTCATAGTATAGTATGACGTCCAAAATATCATGAAAAAGTCATAGTACAGTATGATGTCCAAAATATCATGAAAACGTCATAGTATAGTATGTCGTCCAAAATATTATGAAAAAGTCATAGTAAAGTATGACCTCCAAAATATCATAAAAAAGTCATAGTATAGTATGACGTCCAAAATATCAAAATAGTCATAGTATAGTATGTCGTCCAAAATATTAAAAGAGGTCATAGTACAGTATGTCGTCCAAAATATTAAAAGAAGTCATACTATAGTATGACGTCCAAAATATCATAAAATAGGCATAGCATAGTATGTCGTCCAAAATATCATGAAAACGTCATAGTATAGTATGACGTCCAAAATATCATGAAAATGTCATAGTACAGTATGACCTCCAAAATGTCATAAAAAAGTCATAGTGTAGTATGATGTCCAAAATATCATAAAAAAGTCATGGTATAGTATGACGTCCAGAATATCATAAAATAGTCATATTATAGTATAATGTCCAAAATATCATAAAAATGTCATAGTACAGGATGACGTCCAAAATATCATAAAAACGTCATAGTATAGTATGCCGTCAAAAATATTGAAAAAATTCATAGTATAGTATGACGTCCAAAATATTAAACAAAAGTCATAGTATAGTATGTTGTCCAAAATATCATGAAAAGTCATAGTATAGTATGACGTCCATAATATTAAACAAAAGTCATAGTATAGTATGTCGTCCAAAATATCATGAAAAGTCATAGTATAGTATGACGTCCAAAATATTAAACAAAAGTCATAGTATAGTATGACGTCCAAAATATCATAAAAATGTCATAGTATAGTATGTCGCCCAAAATATTAAAAAAAGTCATGGTATTGTATGACGTCCAAAATATCATAAAAAGTCATAGTATAGTAAGACGTCCCAAATATCATAAAAAAGTCAGAATATAGTATGTCGTCGAAAATATCATGAAAACGTCATAGTATAGTATGACGTCCAAAATATCATAAAAACGTCATAGTATAGTATGGCGTCTAAAACATTAAAAAAAAGTCATAGTATAGTATGTTGTCCGAAATATCATAAAAAAGTCATAGTATAGTATGTTGTGCAAAATATCATAAAAAAGTCATTGAATAGTATGTCGTCCGAAATATCACAAAAAAGTCATAGTATAGTATAACATCCAAAATATCATAAAAAAGTCATAGTATAGTATGACGTCCAAAGTATTTTATGTCATCAAAATGTGATTCGAAAATGTCATGGTGTAGGATGTCATAAAGATGTGATAAAACAAAGTCACAGTGTAGTATGGCGTCCAAAATATCATAAAATAGTCATAGTACAGTATGACGTCCAAAATATCATCAAAACGTCATAGTACAGTATGGCATCCAAAATATTAAAAAAAAGTCATAGTATAGTATGTCGTCCAAAATATCATAAAAAAGTCATAGTATAGTATGACGTCCGAAATATCATAAAAAAAGTCATAGAATAGCATGTTGTCCAAAATATCCTGAAAACGTCATAGTATAGTATGTTGTCCAAAATATCATGAAAAAGTCATAGTATAGTAAGACGTCCAAAATATCATAAAAAAGTCACAGTATAGTATGTCGTCCAAAATATCATGAAAAAGTCATAGTATAGTATGATGTCCAAAATATCATAAAAAAAGTCATAGAATAGCATGTCATCCAAAATATCATAAAAACGTCATAGAATAGCATGTCATCCAAAATATCATAAAAAAGTCATAGTAGAGTATGTCGTCCAAATATCATAAAAAGTCATAGTATAGTATGTCGTCCAAAATATCATAGAAAAGTCATAGTATAGTAAGACGTCCGAAATATCATAAAAAAGTCATAGTATAGTATGTCATCAAAATGTGATTTGAAAATGTCATGGTTTAGTATGCCACAGAAATGTGACAAAATGTATTCATGTCACACTGAAGTGATAAAAAAGTAGTGTTTCAAAAAAATGTGATTAAAAAAGTCATAGTATAGTAAGACGTCCAAAATATCAAAAAAGTCATAGTATAGTAAGACGTCCGAAATATCATAAGTGTCATACAACAAAATCAAAAGACATAGGATGTGATGAATTGTAAATGGTTTCTAAAAGTCAAAATATAGTACGTCACATAAAAAGAAATCCTAGTATCTCATTAACAAAAAAAGTGTAGTATAAGAGTAAGAGTGCTGCAGTCCGGCTGAATGTGGGTCACACAGACAAAAAGCCCAAGGAAGAGTTTTAATGCACAGCACACTGCATCATACAGCACTGGTGAGTATTCCTGTGGTGAATTTCATGAATTAATAGTATTAGCAATGTAAATCATGCTTTAAGTTAACTCACACTATAGCCTGTGGGGAGAATTAGACATATTAGCATAAAACAAGCCACACAGACAAATATATTTTTTTAATGATTTCAGAATCTTTTTATTTGAAATGTCAGTGTTCAAGAGAAAATAAAACAGCAATATAAATATTAGCATAAAAATAAGAGTAACACAGGGGTATAGCGTGGGGGCTAAGCATTTGATAAGAAAGATAATACAGCAGGATAGAGTAGTATTAATTCAGCAGCGGACGGACTTACACATATATAATATTTATAATCATTTGTTCATATGGACAGAAAGAGAATGAGAGGCATTCTTTCACAAATGCACAAGATAAAATCACCGCAAAAGAACATTAAGAGGTTACAGAGGGATAGAAACATTTCCATATTTTTTTTTTCGTTTTGTTTCTTTACAGGGTGATAAAAGATAGTAGAGAGAAAATGAACACAAAAATATGCGCAACACATATCACAAGTTAACTAGTCTACGTGTGTCACTTTGTTTACTTATCTAAAGTTGTCTTTAATTCGTTTATTTACACTGAAGAGTTAGTTGGCTTCCATGGTGCTTAGTTACTACATTGCAACACAAACTGTTGAAGAACATCTCAGATTTTTATTCATTATTGATTCTTTTTTTTTTTTTCAAACTGTGGTTTTCTTATTTTTCTTGAAAAACAAAATGCAACACATTCCAGTAGTAAGCCACGCCTTGTGGAGAGGGACTTTTATTTTGAAAATGTTGGACGTGGTCTCTACTATACAAACAACTGGCTCATACCATCGACAGGACTTGTGTGTATTTACAGTGGGGAAGAGCCTCACAGGACCAGGGAGTGGAGGGGAGAGGTGAGCGGTAGAGAGGCTAAGGTTTCCCATTGATGTCAATGGAGGAGGGATATTTGACAGGGCTGTCGAGTGGTATCTCCTCACCAACAGGGACAGCTGTGCTTGGCTCTGTTGACCTCAACCTGGGTCAGTGCATTAGAATAAGTTTAAGGGGTGAGCAGGTCAACAGTGGTTCCTCTGTACATTCAGTGGGTAGAGCCAAGGCTGTTCACCACCCCCTGGTCAATGTAAAGGTGCCACCTCAGTCTTTGCACCCCTCACCACATTCCCTCCGCTCCCCCTGACCCAGCCTGCAAGCTGCCTTTTCTCATGCAGTTGTATCTGGCCAGAGGCCGGACAGACAGATGGATGGCAAAGTAAAGACTTCCTATCTTATACAAACAATTCCTCTATGCTATCGAATCATTATCTCCCAAAAGAAAAAAACATGTTATGTGTCACATCAAGTTTCTCCAACACTTCAGGATAGTGAGGGGTAATACTCTACCGAGACCCTAGAGGCCTGCAGAGTGTCTCCTAAGCACTTAAGTTTACCACATGTATGCGTTTCCCTAAAGACCGAAGTGATTACTACCCCTACATCATCTCATCTTCAGAATACGAACAGTGCATTTCTCTTAGTTTGGCTCTCAACGTGGGGTAGTGAGTGAGGGGAGGACACGAGCAGGGTGTGAGGAGGGGAGGGTAGAGGGTGCAGGGCAGCAGGATGTGTCTGAGCCCATCTGGAGGTGTTATACAAGAAGCCAGTCCCTGCTGCTATACCACCTGCATGGACAGCATGGCTCGTGACTCCATGACACACGACGCCGTGCCACCCCCACCCTCTGCCAGCCCTTTCTCTGGGTGCATGCTCAGGTCATAAAAAATATCAGGAGATTAAAATCTTTATTTCTTTTTTTTTTAAACTATGATTACAAAAGTAATTTTCATTTTTGTGTCAAGTAAATGCTACATGTGCATTATATTGACCTGCGATTGGAGGGAGGATAACAGATTCAGGATGTCCTCCTCTTTGCTTTTGCAATGCATAGTTTGCAACTCTAAACTAGTATATGTGGTTTGAACCTTAAAGAGCATGCAGAAGAGTTTGTAATACCTGTCAAACAGCAGCCTTATATCCACAGGACTTTTGCTTTAAGACCCTGCAAGGCTGGCCCTATAGGAATCTAATGGATGGCAGCTAGCTTACTTTACAACAGCTGACTTTCCATCTCAGGGAAAGAGCACAATAAATCCAACATGAAAGACATTAACATTTCATCTCTGAATATATCACTGCGTATAGCCTTGTCGTCCCAGCAAGGTTCCTTACACTGAATCTCTTTGTCCAAGTTCTTTGATTTTGCCAAAATAAAAAAAAAATAAAAAAAAATCACAATAACCCCCCATACCCTGCCAAAATTATCTACCGACAAAGATTATGTGAGCAATACTAGACCTTGAGCACAGCACGGGTTATCAACACCAACAACGGCCTTCAGCACATTCAAGACACTTCCAAAGAACCATCAACATCCATCCAACGTCCATGTGGTCAAAAGTGATTGGCTGTCATTGTTTAGACCGTGGCTAACATGAGTGACAGCAGAGCAGTAAGATACCTAATGGAGGGGGTGTGGGGGGTTGAATTTCTCATCAGATCAGGCCGGGTTCATCATGCCTCCACCTCTCTCCGTCCAGCTCTACTTCTTCTCCTTCTTGGTGGACTTCTTCTTGGAGGCAGGGGTCTGAGCGGCCTTGGGAGGCTCAGGCTGGGCTGAGGCCTGAGGTGGGGGCAGTGCCTGCTGGGAGGCCTGCTGGGCCGTGGCCTGCTGCTGCTGGGGGTTGGAAGTGAGGGTGGCCGTGCTGCCAGGGATGTAGACATTCTGGCGATAGTCGGGCACGTGCTGCAGGGTGAACTGAGGGCTGTAGCGGGTGCTCAGGCCCATGGTGCCTGGTCCCAGGGTGGCCGTAGCCTCGCTCACTTCTGGGGGGAAGAGAGACAGAGTGGGGGAATAAGGGGTGAGGAGGGAGAGGGGGAGAGAGGACAGAGGGATGAAACTTGTTAGAAAACAAGAATTTGGAAGTTTTAGTGTGACAGTGTTACATTAAAGGAGTGAATTTAATGAGATTCCCTGCCCAGGGAAAACACAAGGCTGAAGTGAGCTTGACTAAAAAGTGTCGTGGGGAGAAAAAATATGAACAAAAGAGGCAGCAGAGGTGTTATTATTACACAGTGGTTGATTGTGTGCAGATGTCTTTTTTTTCCTTAACAGAGATGATGAAACCATCTCCCCTGCACACTCCTCTGTGTTTCTGGTTTTCTATCACGCATGCCCTGAGTGTGCACGCGTGCATGACGTAGCTGCTCAGCTCATAATTCTCCCACAGCCCCTGCATTGCAGAGCCAGAGACACGCTCCCTCCCCCATCCTGTAGTTCCTCTCAGCCTATGTAAACACAAATATGCACACACAAACCGTCATGATAACTAGCCTCCAAACAGTCAAAGCAGTAACTAAAAAACATAATCTAATAATCTTTCTGTTCTTCCACAGTGCTTTGTTAATTGACTGCAGAACTGCTGCTGTGTTGTGCTTCACCAACACGTTGACAGTAAGTAAAGGAGAGATGACCTTCAGTATTTATCACATGCACTGATGGTCCTTCCTTCCTGATGGCACTAACTGTTCATTCTGTCTAACTTTGTGCTGACATGCAGGTTGCCGCTATGCCCAAGACAGAGCTTATTCTCTCTCCTCTCTGTTCACGTCAATGGAAAAATTCCACACCACGTCCAGTGCAGTGTCCAAGAAGGGGGAGGGTGTGATTGTGTGTGTAGAGGGAGGAAGATGTGATGGTTTAAATAACAGTGGAAACAATGACTTGAGTCTATCTGGCAATAAATCATGTCAAGTTTGTCCCTTCATCATTTCTAGGTATTTTATATTTGACTGTCACTATATTCGGTGTTGCTCAGCCTGTTTTCAAGGCCAATATTCTGTGTGTTTTTCCATCTTATTAGCGAGGCTTCCACGGTAAAAGCCCAAAGATGAATCACTGTGTGTGTGTGTCCTCAGTTATGCAGGCACTGCAGGAGCAGAGAAATAGGGCAGTGGAAGGAGGACATGTTGTGCAATATTGGAATCTTTAATTCTGTATGAGCCTAAAGGTTGTATATTTCATAACTTTTCACGTAGCTCCATAGCCTTCTGCTTATGATAAAACACTGCGCATGATTAGTGTGTACAGTGGAAACATTTATCTCCGTCATGTTGTTGAATTCAACACGTCAGCCACACTGTTCATCTGAGGGACTGCAGGTAGTTATGTCCACTGTCTAAATGTCATCTGGGTAACTATTGGGACACAACTACAACTTGGAAACATCAGTGTGGACACAGAGAGTTATCAATGAGCAAATCTGGCTACTTGCCCTCCAATTAAACAGGAAGCTAAATAAACCACCTCCACCCACACACCCTCGCTGAGCTTATGAATAGAAAAAAATGGTTTGGAAAAGAGAAGATGAACTGATAGAAAAGAGGAACAAGACAGTGAGGAGGTATAGGACTCACCGTTAGCTGCAGCCATCAGGGCTTGGAGCTGCTCAGCCTCAGTTGGGGGCTGTGGCCAGGGGCCAGTTCCCATGGCAACCTCAGGTCCTCCAGTTGCCCTGTGGTGAAAACGAATAAAGAACAACTGTAAATAACTGTTGGTTCGTCCTCTCCAATGTGTGTGTGTGTATGTGTAGCTCGCTGGTTTGACAGTTGGTGGTTTATGATGTAGAGGCAAAGCAGCTGATGGCGAAGTAGACAGCCTGAGGGGAACTCAGTGAGGATAACAAGGAGGATGTATACTTTACAAAACAGGGTGTGTCTCAAACAAACACGCACTCTTAAACACACTCCTGCCTGTCTGCACACAGTAGCAAGCGTGTTCGCGCAGTCACACACAGTAAACATTTTGCAACGTTCACTCTCACTCCGGTATGACCATGAACACTGCGCCGTCTAGTAAATCTGATTAAATATTTAATGATACCCCCTTTAAAGGAAATAGCTGTCTGCAGAGTCACACATGCGGCTCTCGGTGAGCACTGAACATTTCCATCTGGGCAAACTTCACCTTCAAAGGCTTGTTTATTTAAAGGCTGCAATTTGCATGAGGGGGCAACAAAGGAGAAAGCAGACCTGCGATCTTTTATGCTCACCTACTTATTTCCATTCCCACACTTGTGACACACCAACACAAGCTCTACAGCTGACAACTGGGTCACAAAGCTTTAATCCTGGCTCTGCTGCTGTTCCCGAAGTGCTAATAAACCTCCATCTTTGGATTTTTAGTTGGCGGTTTTGATTGGCCACGTCACTGCAGTATGTTATCTTCATAATACTGGTACACTGTGTCAGAAAAAAGAGCTGATAATGTCACTTCACTTAATTAGAAGACCAGCAGAAATTACACAAAATCCTATATAACCACCATGGATGCTGCTTTTAAAGCTGTTACAGAGCAAAAACAATACATATGGCTTTAACTAATCTCTCAACCTCCTCAATTCTGTGTCTCTGTGTTGACTACACTGGTTATTGACTGTTTTGGGTAATAACGAACCACCTGAGGGCATTTACTGAAGGATCATTACCCCACAGGGACATGGGTAAAAGCTTCTGGTGGAGCATACAGCCCCAAAGAGGACAGTAAACGACACTTTGATTCCCGGGTCCTACTTTCTGACAAATATAGGCTGCAGTAATGAGGAAAACAGGACTGCATGTAAATAGATAGTGTGTTAAATACATGGGGTATATGGAGGAACACTCTTTTCTATTTAAAACCAATGACAAAAAACTCTGAGACAAATTGGTCTGCTCCAGGGAATTAGGAGGAAGTATAGGACAAAAGGGAAAAAGTGAAAGAGGAATTCTAACATAAAAACAGGGATTTGTTTAAGAGCAGGTTGCCAGATCTCACTGCCAAAACTGTGAAGTGGTTTTCAGTTCGGTGCCAGAGAGAGACCGAGGGAGAGAAACACGAATGGTCTGTGCCAGGCATCCAATGAGAAACAGGCTGGGTAAGAGCACGGTCAGTAAAGCCAGGGCAGCCATTTTGTGCCTCTTCACATCACTTAAGATAAAGGGAATGCTTCATTTGTGCTAAATTAGCATCTCCCCGAACTTATCACATCCTGTGGTTGTGTTAAGCGCTTCCTGTGGTCAGGATTATCACTTCCTGTGGGCAAGATTGTGAACTGTGGTCCAGAGGGATGTCCTTGGTTGGCCAGACAGGGCTATCGTTTTTCCTCTGCAACCTCACACGACACGTTTTATCTCTGAACATGGCTCTCCTTGTGGTTTTGCAGTGAACTTTCAAGACTTCAGCACCAAATTTAATTTAAGCCAATTCAGCCAGTCACATGGTGTACATGATGACATCTGACCTCAAGAGTTTTATGTGCTGTTTACTTCACTGAGGAACTTTTTAACCTCTAACCGGTATTTTGCAGGAATCAATCATGAGACAGCTGTCTGCATTGTCTCTTTGTTGTTGTCGTCGTCAAGTTGGTAAATCACATGAAAAAGCCACATGTGGTGATGTTGAGCTACAACCATCACAGACATACATCAAAGGCAACATTGTATGGTAAGCCAGTCTTCGAGAAGGAGAGAGAACAAGAGCTCTCAGAGTATAATGACTATATGTATGGCACACATACAAGGCATAAACAAATCTACAAAACACTGCACGCAAACTCAAAAGTGTCACAGTCCTTTCTACGCCACAGCAGGCATTGTGGCCTATGCACATCGATCAACAAACCCCATCAAACTTTTAGGGAGACTAACAGAAGCTATGGGTTAGGTACATCTACACACAGCACAGCACTCAACTGCAGTGCACTACCTAAAATATTTTAGCCATTCTCTGCCCTTACCAACTGATCAGGTCCCTCTTTTTCACCGACCAGTGACGCGACAAAACTGAGCACTGATCAGCTCCTAAGGACAGAGAGTCACCATGTAGTTTCTACGTCTAAATTAGTACCTTGTCCCACTCTTCGGCGTCCATCGTATGTGTGTACCGTATGGCATGTGGGGACTAGAAACACAACAAATTATACAGTCTTAGAGAATCATCGTGTATTTGACTGAAGGCTGGATTTTGTGTAAGGAACAAGGAAAATGCTGAGATATTGTGCTCTAGATTTCAGTGGAAAATATGTTGAGTCTGTCATATCCATTTAAAATACCAGAGATTGGAAGTTAGTTTTCTTTTTCTCTACCACTAACATGAACTACGTCCAATGTACCCATAACCCCAGTGGTATTCTATAACGACAGTGGTCTGTGTGTGCATGTGTGTGTCTCACATTTTCCTGACTTGGCTCAACAGAGCGTTTTGCCCCAGCTGGTATGTTTCAGGGAAAAAGCCTTGACTCACTGAATGTGTTGTGCAATCATTGTTGTGAAAACTGTTGCTGCACACACTCCATTTTAGCACTCACAATATGTGCGAATAGCAATCAAGCATCGACACACACACTCACAAAAACACACAACTGATATAGAGAGTCACAAGTCATCTACTGTGATTTAACAGTGATGGTGTCAAAAATGTAATGTCAAGTCAGTACGACCTCTAAGACAGCAGATTCTGAAGAGAGCGCAAGAAGGATACATACACTATCCCATCCCCCCACTAGCTCTGGTCACCGTCCCTCATCAGTAGTACTGAATGATGGTGCACAGGCTCAGAGAGCGCAGAGAGGAGAGGAACGGGAAGGGGGGGGGAGGGGGAGTGAAAGCTGCGGCAGCCATTTTATAAAGCAGCCTGAAACCAGGCAGAGATGCTCAGTCAGGAGTTTAAATTAACAATCTGAATTCACTGAGCAGGATCATGCAATAAAATCATCACTGCAGTGTAATTCAAAGCCAGATTCAGATGGTTACATCGTGACTTTGATGTCATCAGTGCTTTATAATCAGCATCTCAGCATTCACTACCATCCCCCTATTCTTTTATTCCTCATCCTTCACCACTCCCTCTGTCTTTAAGATAAGCCTGCCTTGTGCAGCACAACAACATGTCCTTGACATTACTGGGTATTTTAGCACTGTGTGTGTGTATGAGTGTGTGCATGTCAGTGTACTCACCCGCTAGGTCCAGGTCTCTGTCCCTGTGTGAAGCGCCAGTCATTGTTGGGGGGCTTTTGCTGTGAAGAGAACAGAAGACGCAACATGAACTGCATGTTTCATGTCAACAACAGCAAGGTGTATCTTTTGTTTAAAGAGATGTTTCCTTGTGGCGTACAGATCTGTGTGTGACAGTGTGTGTCTATCTGTGATTTAGAAAACCTTTTCAGTTTTTCAGTGAGGTTCAACAAAGGGTTACAGATGGAAACAAATATCTGTATGCTCAGGCATCCATGTTGTTCCAAAAGCCGTGGAGCATAAAATGCTGCAGGGGAACACACGCACACACAAGCAAACAAACACACAAACTGGGGCGCTGCTTATAAAACGGGACTCACAAAACAAAAGGCAGATTATATCAAAAAGAGAACAACAGGATTGCTAACTGAGAAATCAGCTATATAATAGTGTTATGAGCCAAAATATGTCCAGAGGACCTTTAAAAGGGACTGTGACACTCCCACAACACTTTCTGAGGGATAGATGGATGAGCTTCCCTGCCAACTAAGTAACTACAGGGCTCTTATGAGAATCTTTTAATAGATGCAGAGAGCAGAGAGAGTCCTTGGAAGACAAAGCTGTTTGTTATTTTGATACCAAGACATCATGGAGATAAAGTTACGATGGCATCTCAGCAGCCATAAAAGCCTCTCTCATGTCTATGTGTCCTTGCTACTCTCTATTAATGTCTTCAAGACCACCGCACTCTTGTCCATCTCTACCTCCCTGATCATGCCACCGTGCCTTTTCCATCTCTCTAGCTCTTTCCCTCTCTCTCAGGCTCTCTTGTTGTGCAGTGATGCAGTGAATAGACCCTTGGCTCGGCTCCAGATTCTGCCGCCTAATCGACACAAGAGCTCCCCGGAGAGAGAGGCCAGCAGGATGATGTGCTGCATTATTAAAGGAGCTGTTCTACCCGAGGGAATGATGGAGAGAAGTGAGAGAGCAGGAGAGAAAACAGAAAGAGAAAATACCTGCACAAAAGGAACAGTCATGACTGGAGCATCTATTAGAATGCAGGTAAATGAGGAGCAAATGCGCCAGTGAATGGTGACTTACTGAATGAACAGCCAGGGAAATAAGTGAAATGAGGAACAGTGTTCAGTATCAATGCAGACAAACAGTGACAGCCACCTCACGAAAGAGAATAACAGAACTCAACAGCAACTTAAATAGGGGAGTGAAAGAGGGACTGTGGAACATTGTCTCATCTACTAAGGACCTATCAAGGACACTACAAAGGGTGAGAGGGAGTGTGAATGATACAAAATGGAGTACTGTGTAACAAACAGCGTTCGTTCAATAATACAATCATTAATCAACCCTATAATCCATGTAATGTTGAGTGAAAATAGCTGATA